ACGACTACCGGAACATCCGCGTGTCCTTCGGCGCCGACCGCGGCTGCTGCATCGTGGAGCTGGGCAGGACCAGGTGGGCGCAGGGGGCTCGCGCCGGGCGATGGGAGCTCCGGGTTCCCAAACCTTCCCGGGGCGAACGCGGAATGCCCCGCCTGGGAGAGCCCGCGGGGATCGCTCTGCACGGGTCTTAACTCTCGAAGCCCAAAAGTCGTAGTAATTCAAGGGTAGGGCCGTAGCCCATCGTAGCGATCTCCATGTTGATTGTAATTACAAATGATTTATAAATTGCAGAATTGCTCCAGTTTTTCATCCCCTTGTTCACTGATTTTGCATTCTTCCGCAAATCAAACAACTCTTTCTTTTTGCACGTAGAAAAGTGAAATACGTGCGGTTATATAAGTATTTCATTAAATTTTCTCATGTGTTGGGAGTCAGTTTTTAATCCTAAAGGACAGGAGTGTGTTCCAACTCCTACATTTGATTCTTCCAGTTGTTGACCAGAGTTCAAATACGCAGGGCAAGCTGTGAATGAGAAACTGTCAGGAGTGAGAATTACAAGCTAACACCCTAATTGCTGGTTTTTTCCCAAGTATGCTATTTTGTTTCTAGCGGTAGGAGATTTTTTTTTTTCCTGGTAAGTTCTATGAAACTTACTTAAAAGGTGGTTTATTTTACCTTTGCAGGGTTCTTGCACAGGTCTCATGTGAACTTGTTTCCCCCAAGCCAAATCGGCCCACGGAAGGTGTGCTCTTCTTTAATCTGGAGCTCTCCCCCATGGCTGCACCCGGGCTGGAGCCTGGCAGGTAGGGGAGATGTCTTAAAGTGACTGAACACGGATGATAGAAGAGCCACTGTTTTGAAGCGTGATCATATTCAGCTTAATTTTGTTTTAACAGGCAATCTGAGCTACTGGTGTCACTGAACAGACTACTAGAGCGATGCCTGAGAGATTCCAAATGTATAGATACTGAATCTCTCTGCGTTGTTGCTGGTGAAAAGGTAGGAAAACCTACTAATTCTGAAGTGGTTTTAAACTAAAAGGTGCATGTAGCCTGATTTTAAGGTGATTTCTGTCTTGTTTTGGAAAGTAGAAATGCTGATTTTAGGTTGATATAAAGTTCCACACACCTGACTTGACAGGTATTTTTAGCTTGCATATCTGCATAGGTTTTCTGAAGTAGTTTGGACCTTTCACCCTCAAGCATTTCTTTCCAGAATAAGGTGTAAATTGTACTTAAATGTCACCTATTTTGTCATAATTAAATCTGGCACGCTGGGTATCTTGGGATATACCGAGATCTTCCATCTTCTTAAGCAAAGACCCGATCAATGTGTGCTGGTTCTTTTTGTGGCCAAAAAAAATATGAACTTGTCGTGAAAAACAGCAACTTCTGTAGAATAACGTCTCGGGTTGCCAGGCAGTTCTGTGCTTTTCCCAGGTCTGGCAAATTCGCCTGGACATGCACCTGTTAAACCACGATGGGAACATCACCGATGCTGCCAGCATAGCAGGAATTGTAGCTCTGTACCATTTCCGCAGACCAGATGTGTCTGTGCAAGGAGAGGAAGTAACTGTGGTACGTTTTATTTAATTTCTTTAGCTGCCTTTGTTCAGTGTGACCTTTTAAATTTAAATGTGTTTCGTAAATAACTGTATTCTGGGCCGATTCCTTTCAAAGTACACTCCTGAGGAACGTGATCCTGTCCCTCTGAGTATCCACCACATGCCCATTTGTGTCAGTTTTGCCTTCTTCCACCAAGGGTAAGATTTTGAAGTCTTTTGACGCCAACAGCTTACTGTTAATTAAGCAGAATTTATTTCAAACATAGAAAACTCCTTAGAATACTTATATTGACCAGCTGATTTTTTAAAAGATTTTATCTGAGGTGAAGTGCCAGGGGGAGATATTTCTGTGTGCTGCACAGTGTAACTAAGAAGCAGCTTTCCACAGGTGATGTAGGAAGCTTTCAGGGGCAGTATACCCATAGTTACTAATATGTAACCAGCTCCTGTGTTTAATTGGTAGCAAGCTGCCTCAAACCTTTGCTGTTGCCTTCTGTTCCTGATTCTAGGACCTATTTGTTGGTGGATCCAAGTGAGCGCGAGGAGCGTGTGATGGATGGGCTCCTTGTGATTGCCATGAATAAACACCGGGAAATTTGTACCATCCAGTCCAGTGGAGTGGTTATGCTGGTGCAGGACCAGGTAGACCTTTGCCTTGACCAGTTCCCGTGCTGCAATCTTGATATGGAAATACCCTTGGCATTTGGAAGCTAAGAAATCAGTCTTTTATTGGAAAAGATTATTTTCAGTCCTAGTGGAAGAGCATTGTACTGTGTACCATGCTGTGGAAGAAATGTAGAAAAGGCATAGTTTTTTGTCAGATTTGCATCTTTTTTTTTTTTCCCCCTGTGATTTGGGTGAGGGAATCTGTAAATTATTTCCCATTGCACTCTGAGGAAGAGCTGCAGGCTGTGTATTAATCTTTTGTATAACTCTCAGTGAATCCAGTCCCTCACGCTAAGTGCCGTATTTTAATTGTTTTTAATTCCTGTGATTTAAGTGTTTGTGATTCCTATGATGTTCTGTAGTTTTAGTTAAAAACATCTTGCTTTCATGGTCATAAGCTGTTGTTGTGTGTATAACAAACAGATTCTGAGATGCAGTAAAATAACAGCTGTTAAGGTCGCAGAAATAACAGAACTCATTCAGAAAGCCTTGGAAAACGACCACAAAGCCAGGTGAGTGTTTGGGGAAGGGATGGAAAGGAGTATTTTTAAGAAATGCACCAAAAAGTAACCTGTAGTTTGAACAGCAAATTATTTTTACACTTGCATTTGACTTAAATAGCAAGTATATTTGAATTTGAAAATGAGAAACCATTTCTAGGTGGGAAACATCCTGAAATAATGCCTGTCCCTGAATGACTAGGAAAGAAGGTGGGAAGTTCGGCTTCGCGGAATCTATCCCGAACCAAAGGATCACTGCCTTCAAAATGGAGAGTGCTGCTGTTGACACCAACAACGTGGAAGAACAAGCAGGAGAGATCATCGCTAAAGCTGACCCTCCCTCCGAAGTGTATCTTTTCTGGGGTATTATCCAGGGGAAAACCAGGCTTCCCATCCTCTGAATTAACACTGCTACGAGCTAAACACACGTCTAAGGTTCCTCACAGCTTGGGGAGCCTTCAGAGGAAACATCCTCAGCATCTTGGGTTTGGTTCTGACTGCTTTTAGTTACTGTAATTCCTTGTATAAAGGGTAAAACTGAGGTCAGAACTGTGATGATTACAATAACAGGAGAAGTGGCACTTTTACCTCCCTATTAAGGCTGTTCTCCCCCAGGGAGAAAATATATACCTTAAAACCCAAAGGTGTGTGGTTTGCTCTCAGAATACAGAGTTTTACCAGCAAACACCGAGATTTTTCTTGACTCCTGCAGTTTTGCCAATCCAATATTGCACACTCCTGGGACAGCCCAAATTGGGGAAGGGATAGAGAACTCCTGGGGAGACCTTGAAGAATCTGAGAAGGAAGAAGCAGCAGAAGAGGAAGGTGAAAGTGAAGCAGCTGCTTTTGAGTGTCAGAAGACAGAAACTGAGGATACAAGTGTGACAAAGGAAACTAAGAAGGGTAAGTATTTATTGATCTCAATATCAGACATGCCTGTTACATCTCTTTAAAAGTCTAGAATTAAAGTGTTCAGATTCAAATACTAAGAGCTTCTTAGCAAGAAAAAGCCATTGTAACCACGCATTTGCTGTTTCTGCTTCACCTGGTTACTTCTTTTAGTAACTGTAGTAAAGGGAGGGCTCCAAATGAATCAGTAAGCCAATCTGAGTATTTCTTTTAAAATGCTGTGGTTATTAGTTACAGAAGTTGTTTGTACAAAACTGATCAGCAGTTTGCTGTTGATTGGGTTGTTTGTTTTTTAGATGAACCCATTTTGCTGTCTGACAGCGAAGAGGAAGAAGTTGTCATTCTGGAACCACAGGAAGTACCAAGGAAAACAAGGTAACCATCCTGTGAAATTAGGAGGGAAGCGCAGTTTGTAAGGAGTATTTCCAGGAAGGACAGGATGCTAGCAAGGCCAGGGAAGGTTTCAGTTGGTCAACAAGACAACAGAGATAGCCAAGAGCAAAGAGGTTTAAATTAAATCTAGGCTAGTTCACTCCTGTCCTGAGAGGCCAGAGCCTGGCTGGCCTTCAGCTGCCTGGAATAGTGATAGATAGACTAATCTTAATCATTCCAAAGAGATGCTTCAGAGATTCTACATGCTCCACTAGAGCTAATGTTAAGTTTTACCTCTCAGCAGTGAGGTTTGCTGCTGTATCCCTGCATTAGCCATGGAAAGCCTTGTTGTTGTCCCAGAAATGAACATAAAACTTGGCTCTGAGTGTAGTGGGTGGTTGCCCAGTTCTGGATGATCATCATGTGTTCTTTTGAAATAGTAAAACTATTCAGTACATTCCTTTGATACAAATTTTGTTTACTGACAGAACACAGACCAGCACGAAACCAGAAACTACAAGTAAGAAAGCATTTAACAAAAGGAGAAGAAAGAAGAGAACTTCTCGATAAAAGCCATCATCCCTCCTGCAGAAATGCTGTACAATATGGAATTTGGTCTGTTATTACTGAGATTATTTTTGTAGATAATTTTATTTCCCCCGTTCCTCCCCATCTCTGGTTCTGCTTTTATGTTTATGTTAAAACCGTTGTGCACAGCTTTAAATAAAAAAAAATTTGCCTGTAACTAAAATTTTGTGGTTGGCATCCAACTGCAGCAAAAACTCACTAGTTAACTTGAACTGACTTCCACGACCTGAAGGGCAGATACAAGATGCCTCATTTTCTTAACCAAACAGCCTGTGCACAGTCAAGAGTTCAGGTGGTAAAAGGAAAATTTCATACCAAGGTAAAGCTTCTCTTCAGGTAGGCTATTGCCACTTCTCGGGAGTTTTTCGTGCTTTAGGGGAGGTGATGTGCTGTGACTGAGATCTTCTTGCCCATGTCACTCCTTTTACTCAAACTGCTTTGTATAAAAAGCAGCATCAATTCATGCACTTAACAGACTAGCATAGAACTCCTGCAAGATAATAGAGAAGCAACTCATACTTCAGCAGTGGAGTTTCTTAAAAAGTTTAATTAAATATTACATGCAACAGACAAGAATGCTTCTTGAACTTATAGGCAAAGACTTCTGCTCTGAACTTAGAATTGAGCAAAACAAAGAGACGAGGAAGGTTCCAGAATATCTGATCTGGGTGCTCTGTTTGACAAGTCACATTGGAAACACGCAAGTATTTACAAGAGCAAAGTAGGGCTATTTTACACGTGACCTCAGTGTTACATGAGCTGAGAACAGGAGAGAAGTTACTGTTGCAGATGTTACATTCCCCAAATGAAGTGAAGAACTTATTGCAGAAGGAAATATAGAATTGCTCCCAGCCATGCTCTTTCAGAATGGGACCAACACACAAAACCTTTACTCTTTTCTTGTTGCTAAACCAGTGCATATTCTTAGTGTCAGTTCTTCCAACCCAAAGTCACTGAGTACAAAAATGGATGAAGATGCAGTTTCTTCTTAATTCCACGGTACCACCGGACTGTAAACTTCTTCAGAAAAAAGAACAGTATTTGCACTGCTATTTCTCTCTTCACACATAACAGCTCATTGCTACATTCCTTAGAGCCTTCTGTTTGAAAGGACTTGAAGTTAATGATTAGGCTTACCAGCAGTACAGTACAACCTGGGGGTTTGTTCAAAGTTTTAGTAGCAAAAGCTGGAATTGGCCCGTATTAACTTTAGAAAATAAGGAGGTGGAAAAAGATAATACTTACTGCAGCAACAAGAGCTGTCAGTGAGGAAGGAGGAACACAGTCACGCTGGGCAGAGGTGCCAGCCCATGACTGAAGCTTGTTTTGTTAGGCTGTAGAGGAAGGCATGTTGATATGGCAAAAGCAAAGCTGAGGGAGCACGGAAGGATTTTTCTGTGTGTTTATCGGAACAGTAACAGAACAACTTCCCTTGAAACTAGAGCAAAGGTGTTTCATTAAGCAGTAAGTTAACACTGAAACCCTCTAAAGTCCTTTCACCTCAGTGCTGCTACTTGCTCTGTTCTGGGGAAAATAATTCATAACCTTCCTTTAAGCGACCCTCTTTCCAATGTTCATATTTCTCAGTAGTATTGGGATACACCATTAAAATGAAAGGGAAGACAGAACCCAGTTTCTCAGGAAGAGCGCTGGGGCCTGTTGTCTTCAAGTAATAATTGCCAGTCAGCATTGTGAGTTATCTTTCCAAGGTCACGAGCGTGGAAAACACATTCCTGTATATACAAACTGCCACCCCTGCAAGGTTAGAGTGTTTCCAATCCTAAGCACCAGACATGATAGACCGTGCAGGCTGCCCCCAGATAGTTTTGGCTTTTTTTTACAGTGGCAACCTGCTGAAATTAGGCTAAATAAAGGCTAGTGACCAATGAAATACTGTTCTCCCATTAAACATCAGAACATGCATAAAAGTCCAAGTGCATCTTAAGAAGCTCACATTGGCCAAAGAGGCCTTCTCTGCTGCATATTTCGATAGGATAAGCACCGATCGCTTTTGTAACTGAGGTGGTTCACGGAGGGCTCAGACTGCAGGGGTGGGGCCAGAACAGTAAGTTTGTAATTGCTGAGATGAGACCTGTGAGTTGTCTCACATTAATGTGCTTGTCAGCTTGACAGAGGGCTGATGATTTAAAAAAATTGAAATAGTTCCCACCCTGACAGCTGTTGGACATCTGTGGAGAGTTTATACTGCTCACTGCTGGGTTGCCCAGAAAAGCAGACAGACAGTGTTGGATCAGCTTCAAGCCAAAGAGGCACAGGTTTCACCTCGCCAAAAAGCTTTGGAAATGAATTCCACTTTAAGATGGCAGTACTTCTCCTCAGTGGTTTTAAGGTATTAGCAAGACCACTAACATCAGATACAAAAAACTGTTTATTGGCCAGCCTGGAAATGGCTTAATCCAACCCACTTCTGTGCAGTCACTGCTTCACATGCAGAGAACAGCAGGTACAGGGCAGCATCACTCCATTTACACAGGCTGAAGGTAAACATCCATTGGATCTAATGCTGATTTACGGTTGCTCATGTAACAGAGTTCCAGAACTAAGGAAAAATACAACCGGTTGGTCTACATTTTTTGCTGTGGAGGAACTCTCTCCAAGCATGAGGGGTGTACAGAGTGCACATGGTTCTGCACGTAGCCCATCCACGCCAGAAGACATTCCCTCCCCTTGAGGGCACAGAGCAGTAGTTCACCCTCCTGCAGTTTAATCCCTCCACCACCCATAAAGAGGTACAAGGTAAGCAGACTGAGGACTCATTTTTTTTAGTAGGTATCGATGGGCTTTGGGGACAGCTAACACGTCACTGGGAACTCCATGGGTTTCAATTAGTATCAGTTTTACACATGCACAAGAAAATACCTGTAGCAAGACCATTTTCTACGTAGTGGCAGTGAGAAGCATGAACTGGTGTAGGAGTTTTAACCGTGCAGCCCCTGCAGCAGAGCGTTCAGCCTGATGAAGCCCTGGCACTACATCACAAGGCACATCCTAAAAGAGGCTCACAAGTCTATTCCAGCAAGGTGTTCTCCTCACGGCCACATAGTTTCTTCCAGTATAACAGACATGAAGCCACATTTTGGGTCTATGCTAAGTCTCAGTTTAAACTAGACAGTATAAAAATGCTACAAATACTGCTGTGGAGTCCGAGTCTTTCTTACCCAGAAGGAGAAAAAGCCCCACTTATGATAGTGCACCCCTAATATTAACGTTTAGGCTATAAGTAGTTAGGCAGTCTCAGACTTCACACGGTCTGCATGGTTAAATCTGTGCCTGAAGAGAACATCTGGATAAAAACACGGTTAAAACTCTTTAACAAGATTGCATGTACAAAAGATTTACATTAAACCCTCATAAAACTAACTTCATAATTAAAGTCGTCAAAGCCTGCATTCTGAGTGATCACATCTAGAATTCTGAACCATGTTTAAAACTGTACATCATTTCCTGGTAATATACATCTCTTGAAAAGATCAGTCTCTTGATTATTACAATAAGTTTAGTGTGTCTGGCGGGTCAATAAGCGATACTTCATGGTACCTAGAGAGGGGGAAAAAAAAGATGCAGGATGTCATCTTGCTCCAGTGCTGTCTGCCACACAGAGCAGCACACACACACTGCAGCAAAGCACGTTTCCCACAAGGCAGGAAACACTTTGGGGCTTGCTGGTTGCCGTGCCCACACGGTTTTTTAGGAGCATCAGGTGTCACCAACTGTAGGAACATCAAGAAAACTCCTCCAGTTTCCACCTGACGGTTCTGGTAGCGACAGAGCACCAAGTATTGCTCAGCAAACCACCATGGAAAAACCTGGGGAGTCTCATCCCCATTTCACTGAGGTGGTGGGTTTGGTTAGCGGAGTCTGCCTGAAGACCTGCCACACCCACACCCTGACAAGCAGCTACATGCTACGACAACTCAGGTGTAACACCCCCGTCTTCTCCCAACACCTCTAGAGATACTTACTTTGTACTCTTGTACTTTTCCCTTATGGACTGTTGTGTGTGCTGGGCTGCTTTGAGGTAGGTGTTGTGTAGGTCCACGAGGCAGGGCTTGATGTCTTCAAGGGTGTAGCCAGTTACTTTGCACAGGGATTCAGGCTGAAGGAAGAAGGAAAGGAAGAGGGACATTGGAACATTTCTGTGTGCTTATGCTGACAACCGCCAGTGGAGTTTTTGGTTTCTTGTTGAAACCGTAATACCCCCCATCACACTTTTCAAACACCACAGAGAACAATCCCTAATTAACAGCCCAGGAGCACAGAGGGGCTGCAATTCCTGCAGCCCAGCCCTAGCATTCAGAACTGTGTACAAATAAACACACACAAAGGCACATGAAGGCTCACGTTTGAGTGCTACGTACCCAAGTTCGTCCAGTGAGCGTGTAGTCTGCTAGAAGAAACGCTGCAGCAGCAATAACTGATGGCAAGTATTTCAGGTAAGGATCAGCATCAATTAGACTCAGCTCCCCAAGGTACTGCAAGGGAAACAATAACGGGTGTCTACTTCCAAAAGGAACAGGAAGATGATTTTATATTTAGGGATATATGAGAACTAGAGGAAAGAATGTAGTCAGGTGTGACCTTTGCACAATGAGACAGAGGCTCCTTTCTGTTTTAGGAGCTCTGGTAGCTACTATACAGTTAGGATTTATTCAGACTTTAGCTGGAAACGTTATCTGTGCTCTGCTTTAGAAATTACCCTCTGGATTTAGAGCTTGCTGCTAGTTGAGGGGAAAACCAAAAAATAAGTCCTTTTTAGCCAAAGTGGGTGGGTATGTGTGGCAATTTTGGATAATAGGGAGGGAAACGTCTATCTAGCAGTGAAACAACCCCCAATTTAAAGTTCATTAATCTCTGCCTGCTCTGAGTAAGTGTGCAGGCTTGAGCCAGGCCAAGTGCCAGCCTCTGATAAGAATGTATTATCCCAACCAGTAAGTGCAATAGGAGCATTAGTTTCCAGCAGTGTGGCACCACATCTGGAGGAGCACACTTCCTAATGTATATGTATCTCTGCAATAGAACACTCTAGGCACATGGGCTGAGCTGGTAATTCCTCCTTACCATTGACAGGCTCTCCATTTTAGCGTCCGTCTGCTGATGTAAGAAGTACTGGGTGAGGAACTGGTTGATCGTTGGAGCTGCCAAGTCAAACGACAAAACCTTCAAAATTAAGTGCTCCATCCTTAGAACCTGCTTCTTGGTATAGGTGTCATCCGTGATGTAGACAAACTCGGCTACTTCGGGAGGATAGATTTCTTCAAACTTTCTGCCGGGAGAAATTGTTAGGAGTAAATAATCGAGTACTAGGAAACCAGATAACCAGCAACATTTAGTGAAAGTGAGCTCGCTCGTTTAAATTCTGACTTGGGAGTGACTTTGGGCACTGGCATCAAACAAGTTTCCTGCACTTGGCTCAGTAGCTCTTGAATCAGCAAGAATTTGAAATGAGAGGGCTACAACAGCCTGATAGTTTAGGACTAAGCAGTTTGGGACTTGGAGTTACTGAAATTCCAGAAGAACCCACTAAACTAGTAATTGGTGCAAGACAAACTTTCTTTTCACGTGCCTTATGCATATTCCTACAAATACTCTTCAGATGCCTGCTGCTGCAGCTGTAAAGGATGAATCCTCACTCTAGGGCAATCTACAAAGATAACTGCCAAGCTTTTAGGAGGATAACCCCTGACTTTTATTCTAGTGTGAAGCCCTCCCCTATAGCCTGGCTATAGGCAGCAGAACAGTGGTAGCCACAAGATTTCTATCTGTAGGCGACCAGCAGGTGGAATTTGAAATGAAGCAACTTCACTTACGATGCAAGCAGCATGGCTGCGGTACCCACAAGCTGAAGTTTTCCTCTCAAAACAGACATTGAAGAAAGAAACCTATCAATGTAATTTACAGCTAAGTGCAAGGTTTCGTTCTGTAGTTTGTATTCTTCTCCAACTTCCACCAGCCAGTCCACAAGAATAGCCCGCATGTTGTTTGTGATGTCAGGTTGCTTCTTCATGTAGCCTATTTTAGGCTTGCATTTCACCTGTAGGTTTAGATGACAGACAGAGCTGAGTTTGCACCAAGTACTGTTAGGGAAGCACTGTTTAAGCTCAATTGACCACAGTTTAAACAAATCAGAAGTAAACAATGGTAAGCTTAGGATCAGTAAGTTATGTTTCTGTAATCTTGCTTTGCAGCTTCTGTTCGGTGCGCGGCACAATAAACTGGTCTTGTGTTCACAGCATCTTATTTCTCCCTTTCTAGTAAGCTTTAATTTGGTCACTGTAGTAGTAACTCAGGGTTAGATGCATTTCTCAAGCCCAAGCCCCACCCCCATAAGCTGTATGCAAATAAGAAAAGGGACAGCAGCTCACCTCCATTTCCCTAAGGTACGTATGGATTTCGCTGATATAGTCTGGCACGTTATTAACGTCTGGTTTTGTCTCTTCTGGTTCTGAGGTTATTGAAATATCCATAATACTTGGAGAGTCTAAGCAGAGGATAACAGCCAGGTTAAAATTGGCACCATCAGAACAACCCCTCACAGCACAGAGAACCCTGTGCAGGCTCACTCAACTAGACTGGGAGTTGAGGAGGCTCTAGGGAAGCCAGCATGTTAGGGCAACAGGGAGTTTCCCCTTCCCCTTTCTCTTCTTCCCCCTAAGAAGAAAGGGATGGAAAACTCTTTTGCAATTATGTAGTGCTCAGTGCATCCTGAGTTACCTTGTTACATAGATGTGGGTCCTGCAACCTTAGACTGTGGCTTAAAACAGGGCTGGAGTCCCAGAGCTTTTTGTAGACTGCAGAAATGGGCCACGATGAAGTCAGCCCTCAGATATTCACGCAAGTCTTACAGAAGATGGATTTGGCAGTTCCCATCTTTTACATAGTGGGAAAATATACTTGCACCTCTACAGGGTATTTCCTGGGAGAAAAGCCTATTACACCTCAGGATCTACCTGAGTAAAGGCCCCTTCTAACTCCATAGTGGTAGCAAAGGGTGAGGCTTTAAGGCCTGGTCTTTAATCTGGTTTTCTCTCGTGATAGTTAAACTCATAAGGTATAAAGTTTCCTGTAGATAGCGGGGGACAGAAGCACAGAGCCTCAGGCAATGGACTAAAGGGCTGTTGTATCGTGGTGGCCTGCTCGAAGGAACCAAACTGGCTCCTGAGGCAAACCAGACCCATCTGTGTCCCGAACATGCTCCGGGACACTGCAGCCCTCCAGTTGGCTCTGGAAACCATTCCCTGGGAAAGAGCTCGGCACGACCCCCCACGCTTTGCCGGGGGCCGGAGAAAGCAGGAGGGACCGCAGTGCGCACCAAGGCAGCGCTGCCCTGCCCCGGCATGTCACGTACCGAAGCTCAGCTCCATGGCGTTGCCCAGGGGGGCCAGGGGCCGCCGCTCCCCCAGGGCACACACGGCCGCACGAAGCCCCAGCGCCGCGTCCTCCTTGTGCCCCGCCGGGGCGACCCGCGGCCGCCGATCCCGCTCCCCATCGGGCTCGTCCACATGGATGGAGAAGGGCTGGTGCTTCCCCGCCGCCGCCGCCGCCGCTCCGTGGCCCTCGCAGCCGCCCCGCGGCGCCTGTGGGGAGAGCGGCCGTCACTGCCGGGCCCCTGACAGCCCCCGCCGCCCCGGAGCCCCGCTTGCCCCCCTCACATCCCGGCCCGCTCACCTGCAGCGAGAGCCCCGGGCGCTCCTGCGCGCCCCGCAGCACCCCCAGCGCCACGCGGGGGCCGGCGGGCGGCGGCGCCGCGGCCGCTTTGCCGCCCGGCGGGGGGACGTTCTCCTGGTTCTCCTGCTCCAGCATGGCCGCGGCGGGGCGGGGGTGCCGGCAGGGTGGGGAAAACACCGGAGGGAGGGTGAGCACGGCGGGGACGCCGCGGCGGCGGGGCCGGGACGGGCGCGCCTGGAGCCGCCCGCGCTGTTCAAGCAGCCCGCGACTATTGAACCGGCCAATGGGCGCGAGGGGCGTCACGGCCGCGCCGGATGGGGCGGGGGGGCCGCGAGGGGCGGGACGGAGGGAAAAAAGAAGGGAGGAAAAAAAGAAAAAAAAAAAAAAAAAAAAAAAAAAGGGAGGGAGCGGCCCTGACGCTCCCCGCGGCCCCACAGGGAAGGGGAGGGAAGCGAAAGGAGCGCCTCGGGCCTCCGCCCTGGGAAACGTGTGTGGGAACGGAGCGTGTTCCAGCCGAGGGCGACAAGGCTGGTGAAGGGTCTGGAGAACCGTGTCCTAGGGAGGAGCGGCTGAGGGAGCTGGGGGCGTTGAAGCTGGAGAAAAGGAGGCTCAGAGGGGACCTTTTCGCGCTCTCTACAATTGCCTAAAGGCAGGGTGGAGGGAGGTGCGGGTCGGGCTCCACCACCGTGCCTGCGGTGAGGGGACAAGGGGAAAGGGCCTTGATCTGCGTCTCTCCGGTCTCAACTTATCACAGAATCACGGTGTGGTTTGGGCTGGAAGGGGACCTTAAAGACCAAACAGTTCCATGCCCCTGCCATGCGCAGGACACCTTCTTCCCGAGCCCTGGTTGCTCCAAGCCCTGTCCAGTTTGGCCTTGTATACTTCCAGGGATGGGGCATCCACAGCTTCTCTGGGCAACCTGTGCTGGTGCATCACCGCCCTCAGATCTTAAAAATTTTCCCTGTTAGGATGGTCATTGGAATAGGTTGCCCAGGGAGGTGGTGGAGTCTCCATCGAAGGAGGTGTTTAGGAGGCATCTGGATCTGGCGCTGAGTGACATGGATTAGGGGTTACAGTGGTAGTGCTGGGTTGATGGTTCAACTTGATTGAGGATCTTAAAGTGTCTCTTCCAACCTTGATGATTCTGTGATTCAATTTCCCTTTAATGAAGTTGGTCTTTTTTACTTGTGAACAGATCTCCATATTCACAGGCTGGTTCCTCTCTTCTAATTTTAAATAAAACCAAGTAAGAAGTAATCTGGAGTTTTGAAAGCAAGCACAGGGATGCTGGAGAATCACAAAGGAAGTTTAATGCCGTCCATCATTAAACAAGACTTAACGCGTGGCTTTAAATGGAGCTGTCTTCAGTCTAAAATTCAGAGTTCTCCCCCCTCTACATCAGGTCTGGTGAGATCTGAGATTCTCAGGGCAGCAGGCAAATCCTACCTATCTCAGGTATAGCTTTAAACACACAAATTTCTTCCAAATCCATTCAAGTCTCTGGAAACCAGGTTCTTCATCCATTTTTGCAGCTGGAGGACAGACTGCTCCATGTTGTCTTTAACAGCAGTGAAAACATTTTTATCAAAAGGGTATTTGGTATTTACATCTGATTCTAAGTTTTCTTCAGCTATTTAACACTGTACATGGAACCTCTGCGGGCAGTTAACATACACAACGGTTTATATGAAATTTACTACTGTATCCAACATGGTAATAAATATGAATAAAACCTAAGAGCTGACAGTACCACAAAAGAGTAAAAGTGTCTTTCTTAAAAAGTGCTTTGGACTCAATATTGAAATGCCTCGATTAAAAACAGAAAAATTACTCTGCTTTTTCCTTGGTCAGGCTGCAGCATCAAAAAAAGCGATTAATCCATCTTGATCACAGCCATCCAGAATTTCCAGGAGCAGAGGAACTTTACTTTTCACATTGGTGCCTTTAAATTTAAATTTATCTATGAAGAGATCTGTGATCATACCTGCAAAGATAAAATTCCAGGAATTATTATTTGCCTTCTTTTCAGTAGGAGGCATCTCTACTATTAACTAACTCATCATTATGTACAAACTATCCTAGTTGTTACAAGACTTCTCTAACTTCACGTTTTAAACAGTGGTTTAATTTTAAACAAACACAACCCACTGTGAGCCTGGATTCCAGAATCACTCCAAAGTGTGTATTTCTGCCTTAGAATTACCCATATCTGAAACAACTAAAAAGAAAGGAACTATCACAGGACAGGTAACAAAGACACTGCTTACACTGTATATACACAAGCTTATTAAAGTGGGTGCCTGGCAGACATTCTCTGTATGGGAAACACCAGAGAATGTTACAGAATTTCCTTCACTAAATGAGATCATCTTCTGGGAGTCTCCCTTCCCACCCCTCGTGCATTTTTGTTTCTCTCGTCTTTTGCAAAACTTCACCCCTCAGAACTACTCATTTTAACTTTTATCATTTTTAAGTGCCACCCTGAATTTGAACACGCTTCCTAATCGTGTCCATGAAGACAAGGATCACCCACATATAAGCAGCTGTCTATGAAAAATTTTAAAAAGTAGCCAAGTCAGCTGCAGATAATCCTGGTGTGTTCATTCTCAGTGATATGCTTGAGGGCTCCAAGCCCCATCCTTGAAAGCCTCCAGGAATGGGGCATCCACAAACCTCTTGCTGTCCTCAAGCTTCCCACGTGTACCCACCTCAAAGTATTTAAATTCTGCTAATCCTGACTTCATAACTATTCCAGCCATGCCCAGCATGCTCTCTGGACACGAAATCACATTTAAATAAAGGAGAATTATGAACAAACCATAAAGTCTCTCCAGATGTGCAGGTTGTCTCTTGTATTCCTCGAGCAGCTGATCTGCCTCTTCCAAAATGGCGCGGTATTTTGGGAGCAGGAAGTCCACGTTGCCTTCGTGAACTTGTAATTCCTCAAAGACATTTTAAGATCGTAAGAACTAACAGCAGATAAGTATTGTAGGAGCAGCATGAAAGTAAGAAGAAATTAGGCTTGGGTCTGACAGGAGGAAGTACTTCAAAGGGAACATAATCCCCTTTTAAACTAGCAGAAGTTATTTCCAGAGTGTCTCTCATTTTCTAGTCTTCTAATGAAATGTCAGATGATACTTGTCACTTCCTAGCCTAGATCCTCAAAATCCCATGTATTACAGTTTCCAGCTGCCAGAACAGGATCAGGCCACAGCCCTGCCCCTCCAGACTCAAACCTTCACCATATCTTCATTTTTTAATAGTTCAACTGCTAAAAAAAGTGTAGCTTATGCTGACGTTTGATGGTAAAAGTGGACTCTGAAAGTATCAATCATGGCAGCAAAAAGTTTTGAAGATCTCTTCTAAAATGCCTCAGTCTATCAGCAGACCAATTTGAGGTGGTCGATAGTATAGATCTTTTTATCCTCCACAGAAAGACTCTTCTAGAGAAAAGGTAATTATGTTGTGCATTGTGAGTCTGCTGGGATAACAGCTTTCATCAAGCACTAGATTATTTTACTGCCTATCAATAAGTCATCATCCAAAAAAATAAGTGATTAAAAAAAAAGTCAAAGATCTGCTGTCTAAAAAAAAAGCCTAAAACTGTTATTATTGCACAAGCACAATATGCCTTAAGAATAAATTCTGTGTTATTGTTTACATCCCTGGTTTGCCAAACCCAGCCCACATCAAACACTTTCAGTGATAATAAAGATACCCATTATTTTCATTGGTAGTCAGCTTTTCTACTAAGCAAAGAGTTCTGACAACAAGGAGTTGACTCCCCCAAAGGACAAGAGAGAATTGGCTGTCCATTTTCATCTCCTCTCCACCTAAATAAAAAACACCAAATTGATGATGGCAAGTTTTTGACAGTAAAGTCCTGGTCGTTGGAAAAAAGTCCCAAGAACTGAGACAAGCTGACTAACTGTTGAGGAGGGGATTAAGCAAAAGATTACAGGGATGAAGTTCCAAAGCAAGGAGGTTGCACCTGGCCTGGATGATGAACCCCAGATCTAAAAAACTTTTAAGGGTTTGTGGAAAGAGACATAAAAAGAACTGGAAAATAACAGCAGGCTAGGAGAGAGCATTAGATGATGAAGCTGGCTGCCTTCTACTGTCCCATTTCAGCCTTCTCAACATCACTCAGTAATCCTAAGTATTAATCACTAGTTATATAACAAAAATGGGAATTTTCCTTGGAAGAAACCTGTCCCCTGGACACTTAAAAACAAGTGATTTAATTTAATTAAGGGGAACAGCAACAGAATAGATCCCCACATGACACACATCTGACTTGAGCCACACAACCTGACAGCAGAAATCCCCCATAAAAACCAAACCACAGGAGTTCAGATACTTACTCTCAAAGCATCTATTAAGTGAACCTTCTTGGCCAGAAGCTGCTGATACTCTAATTTAGGGTGGATGAGCTTTAGTGTGTGCCTCACAGATTCTTCACTGACATCTAGCAGGGAGCGAAAAAAAAATCCCACCAAGCAAATGAATAACCTTCCTTCCACTTACAGGAATCTCAAATGAACTCAAGGACCAAACAGAGAAGAAATTTTTACCATATGATATGTTGAGATTAATCTTTCTTTTAGTAGCTTCTTTGGAAAGCACATCTTTGAGGATGGATATTGTAGAAATGTTGTCAGACTTAAAATACCCCTCGCCTTTTCTAAAAAGGAAGAAAAACTTCAAATGAACAAACTTGCAGATTTGTCCCTATGTTAAAAAAATAAGGTCTGTAAATTAATGCCTGTTTTTGTTTGCATGAGCATTAAATGCCTTTGAAGTTATTTCTGCTCCTCAATACAAAAAAAAGCAAGTCAG